ACTGCCCCTGTGAAGACCCAGCTCAGTGGGATGTGCAGAATCCACCCGTGCTTAAGAGACTAATGCTGTCACAATCATTAATTCCAGACCACCATTTCCAAGTGGCCAGGGTTCTGCCCATGTTAATGGGCTGAGGAGCCAGAGAAGACCTGTATGAGCGTTAGCCCTGAGATGTGTGGCTCTCTGCACCTGAACGGAGCCCCAGTAGCTGCGTAGCCAGCAGCCTTCCTGGGTGGAGGACATGGGGGAGAACTTGCACTATGGACACTACCGGTTTGGGACACTGCTGAGAGCATCCCTGAGCTAAGCAGTGTGCTGGAGCACTCCAGCTGCTGCAGGTGGAACAGCGGTACAACAGTGCTGTCCTGGGCGCCATGCACCTGCACCATGGCTCCTGAGGCCAAGAGGCCTGCCTCCTCTCTGGTGGCTGCTCAGAGCATCACTGCAGCACCAGCCTGAAGGACTGTGTGGTCTGTGCTGGGTACTTAGCTCTCTCCTTGGAGCAGTCCCACTTCGGTGTGTGTGCAGGGCTCCCCAGTGCACAGACGTTCCTAACGGGCATTGGCCTTTTATATGATGCACTTTGGAGTATCATTTTCTGACACCGCCAGTCTAGTTGGTTTTTGTTTGTTTGTTGTTTGTTTTTTAATACTGTCTCCAAAATTATATCTGACCAAGATGAATTGGGTAGTACATAGGTGCTTGGTAAACCTACCCGTTTGTACTTGGGCCCGTTATAGAAAGCTTTACTCTTTCATGTAGAGTTCATTACAGCACATATTTCCCTATGCAAGGTACAGCTTAGAACGATGGCTGTGGTGGTTGTGTAAAGAGAAGAAACTCCCCAATGGTTCTGAACTTTGGTGACAGGTGTATTTCTTAATGCAGATATGAAAAACAGTAGCTCCGTGTCGAATACATTGACAAATGGATGTGTCATCAGTGGACATTTGGACTTCCCCTGCACGACCCAGCTCAATGGGATGGAAAGCAGGAATGACCCGTGCTTAACAGGACCTAATGCAGTTAGCAATGGATTAGTTCCAGGACCACCATTTCCAAGTGGCCAGGGTTCTGCCCATGTTAATGGGGCTGAGGAGCCAGAGAAGACCTGTATGAGCGTTAGCCCTGAGATGTGTGGCTCTCTGCACCTGAACGGGAGCCCCAGTAGCTGCGTAGCCAGCAGGCCTTCCTGGGTGGAGGACATGGGGGAGAACTTGCACTATGGACACTACCATGGGTTTGGGGACACTGCTGAGAGCATCCCTGAGCTAAGCAGTGTGCTGGAGCACTCCAGCTGCGTGCAGGTGGAACAGCGGTACAACAGTGCTGTCCTGGGCGCCATGCACCTGCACCATGGCTCCTGAGGCCAAGAGGCCTGCCTCCTCTCTGGTGGCTGCTCAGAGCATCACTGCAGCACCAGCCTGAAGGACTGTTGTGGTCTGTGCTGTGGTACTTAGCTCTCTCCTTGGAGCAGTCCCACTTCGGTGTGTGTGCAGGGCTCCCCAGTGCACAGACGTTCCTAACGGGGCATTGGGCCTTTTATATGATGCACTTTTGGAGTATCATTTTTCTGACACCGCCAGTCTAGTTGGTTTTGTTTGTTTGTTTGTTTGTTTTTTAAATACTGTCTCCAGAAATTATATCTGACCAAGATGAATTGGGGTAGTACATGAGGTGCTTGGTAACCTACCCGTTTGTACTTGGGCACCGTTATAGAAAGCTTTACTCTTTCATGTAGAGTTCATTACAGCACATATTTCCCTATGCAAGGTACAGCCTTAGAACGATGGCTGTGGTGGTTTGTGTAAAGAGAAGAAATTCGTCCATTTCGTGGAAGCATTGCAGCTTGTCGCATGGTGAAGCTCTCAGCTGTCCAAGCACTTGGTGCGTGAGGGTGACGAGGTCTCTCTGTTGAACGTGCAGACCACTCCTTGGGTTTCTTTAAGAGCAGGCTCTGCCTGGGATGGACTGAGATTTGTTGTTTTTACACCATGTTTCCTACTTGGGCGCTAGAATTTTTACCACAGAAATGGTTTCCTTTATACATAGTGGAAGTTACTATTTGTAGGACCTGTACTTCAAAATATTTAACCATCTTGACATTTTTTTCCTTATTTTTTTTGAGGGGGGGCTGTTTTGCTTTAAGATACACACCACTATACATATATACACACATAGACATACGTATCCAGTTGCCGAGAGGACTTTTGAGTCTCTCAGTGGAGCTGCACTGTTTGTGGCTCAGAGAAACAAGCTTTTGTCTAGGCTACTAGTGGCTACACTGTGCAAATACTGTAATGGATTTTCACTTTTCTGAGTTTTTGTAATAACAATTGGTGCAAATAGAGAAAATGTCAAATGAACAAACCAATGTTCTAAGAGTGTACTAACATTTTGTTTTAAAGCTGTTGTTTACAAATTGAATAAACTTTGACAGCCAATTTGTTCCTGGGACTCGGTGTCTCTCTTGGGGTGGGGAGTGGAGCACCAGTGGCAGGGATGGGAGGGAGGAGAAAGCTGGACTGCATTTCAGTTTGCATGGTCAGTCTCTCTGTGTAGTCTTTCTCCACTCTTGCTTTGTTAATACGGTCAATTGTATGGCCCCTTCTTACTGAATTGCTGTTGCAGCAGAAGTGTAGGTTGTGTCCCAGCCGGCATTGCTGCTGGGCATTTATTTTCATAAAAGACAGCAACCATAACTCTCTGTGCTTCTTAGATTTCATCAGATGCTAAAATGATGGTCCTGAGATGAAGTTGAGAATGGTAACAAAGCCGTTCCGGCTCGCCTAGTGTGCTGTTCACCACAGCCACACGCACTTGTGAAACTAGAGCAGCACGAAGATCGCTTAGCTCGGAGTGCTGCCACCACGTCAATAGCAGTCAGCTCCGAGCCCAGCCCCCTCCAGAAGCTGCCACCTTTCTCAGATTCTTAAGGAGATGAAGCTTGATGCCCCCGTGAGGATCGTCCTTAGGATATTTCAGACTTTGTACTGAGTTAAATGTTTGCCGAAAGATTATCAAGCAGATCTCTTAGTCATTTGGTCAGTCTCCGAAATTGAGCAGAATGCGGCTGCTTGGGAGCAAAACTTCTGCACCTCCATGGGTGGCTGATGCAAAGGTCGTCATCGGCTGGTCTTAAGTTCTCAGTTGTCCTTTAGTACAGACACATCAGGAAACTTGGTGATGGAGTTCTTCCATTCCTGGACTTTGCTTCAAAATAGGGGAGGGTGAAGTGAGTGAGTGTTAGCCAGCGCCTAAGGTGGGTGGCAAACACACAAGTCTCTACTTCGTGAATTTTTTTTAATGTTTGTTTTTAATTATGACTTCAAGGAGAAAAAGAATGGTTTAAGAAATTGTGCATATCATTTGGACAGTGGCCAATAAATCTTAGCTTTTGTTTTATTTAACTCATCAAAACTAAGTTTATGCTGATTACTAGGATGCCCACTGGTTCTCCGTCTTCTTGGCCTGAAGACCCATTTCCACACTTGCATCTTATTCTTGTGCACTTACAGCAAACAATTGGAAAACAAAATCCATTGAGTAGCACCAAAACCATGAACTACCTTAACAAGTATACCTTAACAAAAAATGATCAAGACCTCCACACTGAAAACGACAGAACTTTGCTAAGAGAAAGAAGAGTGAACCATTTACTGAGTGTAAAGGAAAGTTGGCCTCATACGATACTTACTGGGAAAAGGCAGTAATATTCTAAGTGTTTGCACATATTGGACGTTCGGTGATTTCTTAACGCGTGTTTGCAATATGGAATCAGAATCCATGCCAGTGCTTCATTTCATCAGTGTATACTCAGGTTGAAATTTAACAGGGTTACTCATTTTTATTTGCATCAAATACATGCTTAACTGTAATTGGCTTTTCTCTCTAGCTGAGTTTAGAAATAAAGAATAACCAGGGTGATTTTTGTTGCTAAAGGATTCTTGCTAATGCACTCGAAATTTTGCCCTTTTTATTTTTAGTGTTACTGGGGTTTGAACTCATGTCCTCATGTATTTTAGGCAGGCACTCTACCACTTGAGCCATTCCACCAGCCCTTTTTGTGTTGAATATTTTCAAGACAGGGTCTTGAAACTATTTGCCCAGGCTGGCTTCAATCCATGATCCTCCTAAGTAGCTAAGATTACAGATGTGAGCCACTGGCGCCTGGCCTACTTGCCATTTCTCTTGAATCATCGGTGCAAATGTCAACATGATGAAGAAGGTGTATCACACATCTTGGCAATACAGCTTTGGCCTTGTGGCTCCCCAAAACCATCCCAGACGGTACCCCTTCCCCCAGCAATTTGAGAACTGCTGGAATCACTAGACTGTGAATTGAACAAATCCAAACAGTGATAAATTCTAGAAAATGTGGAAAGAGTGTTCGCTAAGGTACTCTCCCGCAGATTAATAAAAAAAGGGGGGGGGGAGGAACAGCAGAGAAGGGGAAAAGATAGAAAATAGAAAACGTGAAGAATTTTCCTAAAAGGAGGAGCCAAGAAATGGATGATAGAAGAGGGGATGTGTCACCCCTCAAAGTTTTGAGATGGGTAAAATACTACATTTGAAAACATGGGAAAACTAAAAAAAGGGAAGATGGCTGAGAATCATGTTGGTGGACATTGAAGCAACCCCAAGTCATGACTCGAGTAGGTTGGAGAGTAACGGAGCCAGGCCCAAGACGGGCTGGGGCACAGCTGTACCGAGGAGGAGACCTTGTGAGTGTGGGTGTGGAGAGACAGCAAGCAGTCTGGAAGCAGGAAGAGGCAGTGAGCATGGCTGCCTCCAGGTCCAGTGGGGATGGCTGGGGGAGCGACTCAGCTCTCATATTGCCAGGAAGAAAATGTGAGCATGGCGTTCTGCTAAAGCTGGTCGAGGCTTCAGATAGCCCTGTGAGTGGCTTTCACGAGAAGATGGTGCCAGGAGAGGTGACATTGGAAAGGGCTGAGGCAAAGGCTCAGGACTGGAGTTGGGCAGGTGATCAGAAGGAAGAACTGGGACAGGTTTAGGTGGATACAGATAACTGCTTTGTTGGATTCTTGGTTTTGATGCAGTGAAAGTACCAGTATATGAAGAAACAGCTCAGTGAGTTTGTCCCAGTAGGTGGGACATGGGGTACATTTTTGTTTTCGATACTAGGTTTGAACTTGGGCGGGGCCTGTGCTTGCTAGTCAGTCTCTACCACTTGAGCCTCGCCCAGTACATCCCAGTATCTTGTTATAGGTAACACAGATGCTTCCCTGGGTTTAAATATTTTTAGAGTGGGGAGATCAGATTGTCCTTAATCTGATATTAGGGATCCAGCATTTGGATGAGTTCAGGGGTAAGACTAGGATGAAAAAATACTGCAGGCCAGCGCCATGGCTCAAGTGGTAGAGCACCTGCCTAGCAAGCTCCAGGTCCTGAGTTCAAACTCCAGTACCAAAAAAAAAAAAAATACTGCAGCTACTGAATGTGTGAAGAGACGAGAAGGCTTGGAGGAGCCAGGCTCAGGCAGGGGAGGGAAGCAGGGTAGCCTCTGTGTCATACAGACAGAATCCACGACAATGAAGAGATGCCAGAAGCAAAAACACAAGGCTGTGATAGGAATAACGCAGGAGTCAGGGGACACGAGGCCAGAGGTGAGGCTTCACGGGGAGGTGTCTCAGCCCCCTGGATGCCACAGACCAGCTGAGAAGGGACATGCTTCTGGGATGAAGGCAAGCAAATCCGGTGCATGGACACCCAGAGGGACTCAGACTCAGTGCTAGCATGAGGCCTGCAGTGCCCTATACCTATGTCCAGAGGGACACCAAGAGTCACCAGGCCCTGACCAAGACTGATGTCAATGGGTCAGAGCACACACACACACACAGACACACACCCCCATCACTGCAGCAGGAGTGAATAGTGCCCAATGGCATATCCAATGGGAAGGAGCCCTCCTGCTGCAGTGCCTCTGCCCCCAGCAGACCCCTCACCATAGGGTCTCTTGGAGGGACGTGCTGATAGGCACAGTGTCCCCTGCCCTTGGTTGACCCCACTGCTTCAGGTCACTATGAGGCAGATGCTGGTGTTCAGTGCCCCTGCCCTGTGCTGATCCCTCAGCATCAGGTCACTGCAAGGGAGACACTGGTGTCCTCAGTGCCCCTGCCCTCTGCTGACCCCTCAGCATCAGGTCACTGGGATGGAGGTGTTTTGTCCCCATTGTCCCTGTTCTCAGCTGACCAGTCATTATGGGATCACAGAGGCAGAGACTTTGTATCCATGCCTTGTTGCAAAGCAGGTATGGGTACATTGGGATTTGAGAAGCAGAGAACTGATAACTGGCCCAGCAGCCGTCCTGGAAGAAGAGAATTAAAGGAAGTTGGAAGAGGACTCAGTTTCAGAACTCAGTCATACAGATGTAGACATGGTCGGTCCTTTTCGTGTGTAAACTGCATTTTGTGGGTTTACCCCCTCACTACAGTGTGCAGATGTGCACCCTGATGCCTTTGTTGCCATCACAGCTGTTCTTGGTTGACGGGGACTTGGACACACTCCCTGCGTGTTTCTGCTTTTATGCTGCGTTTTTCTTGTATATTTTGAACACATTTTCACATACCTGCTTCTTGCTGGAGTGTCCCCTGTTTCCAATGGCCATAGATGTGGTGAAGTTCTGTCCAGTGTGCTAAACATGAGAAGGCTGTGCTCCTCACAGCAAAAATCCAAGTCAGGTGAGCCCCTGGGCTGAGTGACAGCACAGCTGGCCCCGAGTTCAATGTTCACGAATCAATGACATATGCTCCAA